GGGGGTTTTTAAGAAGAGGTTAGATGAACACCTTGCTGGGGTCATTTGACCCCAGTACTCTTTCCTGCCATGGCAGGGGGTCTGACTAGATGATCTGCTCAGGTCCCTTCCGACCCTAGAAACTATGAAACAATGAAATAATGCATTACAGCATCTGACAAAGATATGACATCAGATGCATTTCACATACTTCATAGCATCTGACAAAGTAGGTTTTTGTCTGTGAAAGCTCATTCTTCTCTGAACTAGTTAGTCTTTAAGGTGTCACCCTGCCCTGCCTTCTGTCTGACTCACCTGGCTAACCACCCCTATTCATTAGAAAAGTTTTTCGTACTGGACTTTGTTTCTTACAGTTTCATCCCTAAAACATAATTGATTTTTTTTCATTCAAGAAGTCTAAAGAATAATGTAACGGTTTATGGCTATGCCCTGTTAGCCTCGGCCTTCTGCCACCTATGATGGCACCTGAAATGAAATCAAAACTGGCAAATTTTGGACAGCATCATTTTTTTCTGCTAATCTAGAATAACTTATAGTTAAAAAACCAATAAAACAGAAAATTCTCTTGCCTGCGTACATAGTAGACAATTGCCCCTTAATAAGCCTCAAGGAACTTAGGAAATGGCAGTGAAGCTGGGCTGCTTGTGTGTGTTGAAATATTTTACATCCCACAAACCTTAATTAACAAAAGATGTGAAGGCTCCAGTTCTGCAGCGCCCCTGCAGAGCTTTGTTACTCGCATTAACGTGTCCAAACCCAAGCAATAAAATATATTACTGAATAAAATAATAATCTTAATAAAATAATGATAGCAACATATAAAATAATCAAAGGAATTGTGAGAAATGGATTTGCATTATTTATTTGCATTGTCCCTAGAGGCCCCAGCATGAGTCTGGAGCTCCATTCTGCTAGGTACAAATTGCAAGGGAGAAAGACAGCTCCTGTCTAGAAGGGCAGGACCAATCCCTACAGTTTTGCAGTCTTTTAATGAAGATTGAAGGGGAAACAAAAGCATCCAATAATTCAATAGTACAGGTACTTCCTTGACATGTGGTATTTGCTCACCCCCTTGCCAAGATAAATATTAACCAGGAAATATACCAGCCTGTGAGTATTTATAAGTACATAAAAAATGCTGTTTACGGAGTTGCTCCACTGGTCCACCTTGCTCACTTATCCTGGGTCCCACAGCTAGTGGCTCCTCCATAGAGCTGTCACAATGCATCTGCTGAGGTTCGTGGACACCCCCGACACCTGCCCCTTCTGAGAGCAGAGGGAGACCCTGGCATACGCCCTCCTGGACTGTGCCAGGCCGCAGCCCCTTCACCACCTGCCTCAACCTCCTGCTGCCCTACTCCCATCCCCACACCTTGTTGTTTGTGCACTCCTGGAACATGGCCTCTGGCCAGGAGTAACACCCCCCACACCCAGGGACTACAGGGCTGTTTTCCTGTCCTTGGTCTGTTCACCCCTCCAGGCAGTTTCACCAGGCAACGTCCAGGGACTCCTCGGGCTTGTCTGGGGGCTGCCTGGGGTGCTCTGCTCAGTGGCCCCTCACTTGGAACAATTCATCTAAACGTGTGCCCTGACCCCTCGTCCCTGTTTTCTCTTCAGTTGTCGTTGCGTCCCCACCGCCCTCCCGCCTGAAGGGGGTTTTCACCACGCTCTTGTCCCACCGGCAGCCTCTGCCACCTGAGGGGCAGGGATACCTAAGGCCCTACGCCCGCCTGCCCGCGCGCATGCCCACGAGAGCTTGAGCTGAACGCCAAGGCACTGCCGGCACTGCACATCCACAGTCAATGGGACGCTTCAGGGAGGCCCCGCCCCTTCCGCTCCACTTCCGGGTGGAACGGGATGAGGTCTCGGCGGTTGATGTGGCTGCCTGTTGCTGTGGTAACGGGGCCTCGTGGCGGCGCCATGGACAGCCGCGGGGCGCAGGTCAGCGGGCCGGGCCGGGCCCCTCGGCGGTGGGGACGAGGCGGGTTGCTTTCCTCGTCGGGACAGGGCAGGGAGGTGCGGAAGGCCGGGCGAGAAGGCTCCCGTTGACCTGCGCCGCGTTGTGTTGCCAGCAGAGCAAGGGAAGCGCTTGGTCCCCTCTGTTCATCGGTGGCCCCGTGTCCGGTTCTGCAGCAGGGATGTGAGCAAATTGGAGAAAGTCCAGCGGAGGGCGACGAGGGGGTGACAGGGCTGGGACACGTGCGAGGAGAGGCTCCGGGAGCGGGGTTTATTTAGTCTGGAGAAGAGACGGAGGGGGATTGAATCGCAGCCTTCAGCTCCCTGCAGGGGGGGTCGGAAGAGGAAGGAGCCGGACGGTTCTCAGTGGGGGAGATGGCAGGACAAGGAGCAATGGGATAGTTGCAGCAAGGGAAGTTTAGGATGGATATTAGGAAAAAACTTTCTCCCTAGGAGGGTAGTAAAACACTGGAACAGGTCACCCAGACAGGTGGTGGAGTCTCCATCCTTGGAGATTTTTAAGACCCATCTACACAAAGCCCTGGCTGGGATGATGTAGTTGGGGCTGGTCCTGCTTTGAGCAGGGGGTTGGACTTGTGACCTCCCGAGGCCCCTTGCAACACTAATTTTTAGTGATTCTGTGTAGTTGGGCTGAAGTTAGACAAGCTTTCGAATGCAAGACTTTCTTCCTGTCTCTGGGTGAAGGATGCCAGATGCAGCAAGTTGAGCACTGCATAGGGGAGTGGCTGAGAGAGAGTTTCAAGTGTGGCAGACAGGGAAAAAAACAAAAAACCTGACCACAGACAGCACTCGGGTGCCTGGCTTCCTATATTCACAGACCCGAGAAAGAATGTCTTGTGTTCCAGAGCTCATCTAACTTTCGACTGACTATGTAATTGGTCCAATAAAAGATATTGCCCTAAGAAATTCTTGCCTCTTGTATTGCTTTTGTCTCTTCTAAACCATTCATTGTTTTGGCTCCTAGACTATTCTTTGCTTAGGGTGGTCATTCCCTCCTCGCCCCCCACGCTTCCAAAAGGATAGGTACTGCATTTAAAGCTGTGGTTGTTGAGAAGTTTCTGACTAACTGTATGAATCCAGTCCTGCCACTGAAGCCAGGGCTTTAAATGTCAAAACATATGTGAGAATGGCCTGGGTATGCTGTGAAACTGATTCTAGTTCTCACTGACTGTTTTCATAACTGGAACCCATAGAAATATGTAAAATGTTCAACTGAGATCAGGTTCTCTGCAGGAGTTTTTTCCATTTGCTAATGCCACATGAAACTATGTGCGTAGTTTTGAGATCCATGCTATTCTTTACTTTTTAACTTTTTTTTCTCTTTCTGTGAAGATATAAAGATTTGAACTTGAAGATGGAAATGTATGACAACCTTGGAAAAGTGGGAGAAGGGAGTTATGGAACGGTGATAAAGTGCAAGCACAAGGAAACGGGACAGATAGTAGCAATTAAAATATTCTATGAGAAACCAGAAAAATCTGTCAACAAAACTGCTATGAGAGAAATAAAGTTTCTAAAGGTTTGCTTCTTTTGACTTATTTCACTTTTGATTTACAAAATAATTAGCTTTAAAATGAAACTTTCATCTTGAATGGTACATCATTGCTCATGGGCTACTGAACACATAACAAGGAAAGAGCATATGCCAGACAATGCAAAGAAAATTTGAAAATATAGCAAATACAAAAGGACAAATCTAAAAAATGTAGCTGTACTTTTGAAAGAAAGTATGGACAGTTATGCATATCAGGTTAAAGGAAATAATAGATAGCATGGGGGGTGGGGTTTAAAGAGTTTTTTGTGGTTCAGCTATGCAAAATTTTAGGACATGTCGCTACTTTGTGTAGTTTCATAGATTTCTGCACAAGCACAAAGATATGCTAGATTTGCCTTTTTATACAATTCATATATATGAACAGAAGTGAAGCTTTTCTCTCCTCGCCCTCCAACACTTCACCCAAACCTGTGGAGGATGTGGAGTCTTTTGCATGTGTGCTTCCATCCCAATGCACAGCCTGGGCAAAACGATTACCTAAGCAAGATGCTGTAGTAGCACCTTCTACTCTGGGACAGGTTGTACCTTTTGTTCTTTTCAGTCCTGGTGTAAATCACATCAGTATATAAATCTATTAGGATACACAAACACCTGTATTCAAATTTAGCCTAGTATAACATATGGTGGCTCAGCTAAAGATAGGAGAAATGTAAAACATGCTATCCATTTCCTACAAGTCTAGATAAATATTTGACCTATGCAGTTAAAAAAGATATTCACCCTACAAGTTCTATACTTGCCTCTATCACAGACCTACCATTTGAACTTAAAGAGCATGAACAGGCATTCATCTGTAGTGTTACAAACGTGTAGCACTGTAGTGGTTTACAAGTGTTCCTGCAGGAACAAAGACTGTTCCTGCAGGGGCTGTGGTAATGGGAAGAATGGCTTTTCCTGGGGTGCTTGTAGAGCCAGCGACAGCTCTTCTTACTGTCACCCACACCACGGGAACAGGCTTTTTCTGGTGTTTCTATAGGCGGGGGGTGCAGCTCTTCCCACTTCCTTTCATGACAGCCATTAATGTCCCATCAGGACTCTTTAACAGCTTGTGAGCTGTGGGTGAGTACTGTTTTGTACAAACAGCTAAAACAGGGTGAGTACTATGTACTACAAACAGCTAGAATAGGTGCACACTTGGTTTTTGTAGTGCTATAAATGTAATGCCTGTCCATGGCCTAAGTTGTATGTATTCTGTTGGGACCAGGTCCCCAGTTGCAACAGGCAATGAGGGAGGAAGACAAAAGTAGAGACAGTGCTACCTTTGTGCATCTTTAACCTAAAGAGTAGTGTTGCTGTTTTAAGTTATGCCTTAATCTAATGCAATGATTCTTGGGCAGATTGTTGTGGGACCCTGGGCTACCTTGAGATCCTTTCCATGGTACTATGTGGTTCCATGCAATGTTAGCACTGTTAGGTATGCAAATATGATTCACAAGATAAACCCAGAGATTTCAAATAGGAATCCACAGCATCAAAAACATTCTGACCTGTTGTTTTGTTTTGTTGGGTTTTTTTAGTTCTTTGCAATTTTTTTCTGTAGTCAAAAAGGGGAAACCAGAAGGTGGCATTTTCTGGGAAGTGCCTTGAATCTAAACAGGTTTGAGAACCACCTGTTGTGGATCCCAGGAGGCTGATCTGTCAGCTACAGATCACCTTGTACTTCTAGCCGACTCTGTGGCACTTCAAACTGGAGAGAATTTTCTCCATTAATAATTTTCCCAGAGATTCCCCAGCATCAAACTAATGGAGTAGAATAGTTTCTCCTGTGGGTTCATGGAAGACCAGAACTATGTGGAGGCTCTGCAAGAAAGTACAGACTGAAGTTGTAATATTTCCTTGTTAAATATCTTGGATTTGGTCTGCCATACTTGGGCACCCGCTGTTTGTGAATTTGAGGCCCAAAACAGAAAGTAGTCTGTTACATTCAAACACCAGTTACAAATCCTAACTTGGCATTACAATATGTGCAGGTTCTCCAGGACTTTACATGACTCCTACCCTTCCAGGACATGTTCTTAAAATATGTGATCATCACTGATTTTTATTTAGGTATAGCAGAGGGTTTTGCTATTGGGGTGCGATCCTCTGCTCATGAAATCAATGGGAAAAGCCCCTTGCTCTAAATCTGGGCTAATTCTATGGAGCTCAGTGACACTGACCTGAATTGACATCACTGTGAGGAACTGCAGTGATAATTACAGTGTAAACTGTAATTAAAAAGTTGGGACGGATTGTTTAGACCCATTCATAAACAAGTGAATAAAACAGTGTTTCAAAAACATTAGAACTGAAATATAAATATATGGAACCTGATGTGCATGTTTTTAGCATGATTATTATTTTGACATATGGCTTTGTGCCAAATTTGTGCCAATTTTGACATATGGCTTTGTGTTTCCATATCAGTAAAGTAAATGGTTTGCAAAAATGGGGAGGGGAGGGGAGGAGCATTTTAACCTGCTCCTCACAGTTTGTCCATATCAGAAGTGTTATTCCTGGCTTAATCCCTGTAACTGAGAGCAGTTTTTGGCTCGGTGTTAATGAGGTCAGACAAAGCTGAGGAAAAAACTTTATGGCTTTTGGACCAGAGAACAAGCTCCTTTTCTTGGGCTCCTTAAAGTCTATGTAATGTAATTTTTTCCCCTGATTTAGGTCCTGTGATAGCAACACATGTTTGTAAATCAAAACTTAGATTCAATATTATTCTGATCAAACTAGCTCACCCAGTTATGGTTTAAATGTTGGAGGAAGGCTGGAGGAGAGGGAATACAAATTCTGCGTATTTGCATATTTATATGAACCCCCCCCATCTGTTCTTGTATTTATGCCTTAGTTAAGGAAAAAAAATTATCCTAACTGGAATACAAAGATACAGAAGAAAGTGTTTTTCCTCTTTTGTCAACAGCAGTTTCATCATGAAAACCTGGTCAACCTCATTGAAGTATTTAGACAGAAAAAAAAAATTCATTTGGTGTTCGAATTTATTGATCATACAGTTTTAGATGAGGTGCAGTGTTACAGCCATGGATTGGATAATAAAAGACTTAAAAGATACCTCTTTCAGATCTTTCGAGCAGTTGGGTATCTCCACAGCAACAATGTGAGTACTGTATAAAAAGGTAAAAATAAGGTTGGGATCCAGTGGCATTATCTCCTTCCATCATATTTTTTGATGTTGCTTAGTGTTTATCTTCCAGAAATTGAAATTTTAAGTCTTTGTTGAAGAAATTCTAGCTTCATAATAACTGCTTAAATATCCTCTTGCCCTTCCAGTACATTTTCTTACAAATTAGCAACAATCACATTTTTATTTAGGCATAGCTGAAGGTTTTGCTGTTAAGGTGTGATCCTCTGTTCTTCGTGAAGCCAGTGGGAACAGAGCCTCTTGCTTCATATCTAGGCTAATTCTATGGACCTCAGTGGCACTAACCTGAATTGACAACACTGAGAGTGACTACAGTGACAATTACAGTGTAAATTGTAATTAAAAAGTTGGGACAGATTGTTTTTATATCCATTCATAAGCAAGTTAAAACAGTGTTTCAAAAATACTAGATCTGGAATACAAATAAAAATAAACACTTTATTAAAAGATAAAAATAAGGTTAAAATCCAGTGGTGTTATCTCCTTCCATCATATTTTTTGATGTTACTTCATGTTAATCTTTCAAAATTTGAACGTTAATTCTTTGTTGAAGAAATTCTAGTTTCCTAATAACTGCTTAAATATCTCCAGTTGGATTTTGATCTGCAGAATTGGAACACTAGTGCGGTATAAGCCGGGACATTAAATGTGCCTAGACATATGCAGGGAGGCAGACTTGATTAATTGAGTCTGGAGTATGGTAATTGGCAAACTCCAGCATCACGTATATCAGTTTCCCCATGCTGAAAAATGGCAGCGGGGGTGCTTTAACTAAAACCTGTTCAACAAGCTTTAATTAAAGTGCAGCCCCCTCCCTTCCTCCCCCCCACCCGCCTCTCACACACACACCATTTTTCAGCGCAGGGATGCTCATACATGTGATACTCTGGGTGCTTTAATTAAAACGGCTCTTAGAATTTAGGATCTTTATCTTCTTGCATGGTTGATACCAGCATGGCAGAACTGATTTGGCTGTTTCAGTTTGTGCTTTTGGAGATGTTGGAAAAAGGGAGCTGTTGTGTTTCGTAATAAGAGAGCTGTTGTCTTTCTTAATCAGGTTGTTTTCTGCTTTTCCCCTTTTGTCCAGATCATACACCGTGATATCAAACCTGAGAATGTTTTAGTGTCACAGAATGGAATCATTAAACTTTGTGATTTTGGCTTTGCTCGGACATTGGCTGCTCCTGGTGACATTTATACTGATTATGTGGCTACGCGATGGTACAGGGCTCCAGAACTGGTATTAAAAGATACTGTGTATGGAAAGTATGTATTTTTGTTTATGTTCCTGATTATTACACTAGCACGGAGCATCATTTGTGGGAAGTGCACTAGGAGTACAACATAACACACACACACACACAAGTTAACAAATAAACAAATTAATTTTCTTCAGCCTCGAGCAATATTTTCAAAAAAGTAGCTAACATCAAAAATTGTGTTAAGTCATTTTAAGGATTTAAAGATCTGTATCACAAACCAAATATCTAGTACTGGACATGATGGGAAGTTTTAGAGGAACATCAGATGATGCTCTGTCACAGAATTTAATTAACAGCTCTTGTTTTGATAGGAAAATTAAATACGCATAAAGAACTTCTATTCCTAGTAGCCCACAAAGTGTTGTTCATGTATATGAGCTCATATATACAGCTAGGTTTGATCCTGGACTCACTGAAGTCGGTGGCAAAGCTCCTACTGATCTTAGTGCTATTTGAGCAAGCCTACTGTCTACCTTTTAATATGACATCCTGATTTTGTGGACCATATAGATTCTTTTCAGTATTAGGCTCAATACTAGATGGATGGTAGCCCTTCAAGTATTACTATACTGAAAACACTATTATCTTTAATCAGATTAGGATTCTTCTTAAAAAGAGTCTAAAAATCAGATAAAGTAGGATACAAAAATTGGCAATTCAATGTGAACTTCTTAATCAACAGCAAATTCACTTGCATTATATACAATAATGCAATTATTTCAGCTGGAGGACTGCTTAATAACTTTTGGTGAGTGGTCAAGAACTGCAAGAGTAGCCCCATTCCTTGACTGGTGCCACAGCGTCTGATTGCCATTTTGGGACCAGAAGTCCCATCCCTGACCTTTGCCACTGGAAGTGTCCCGTGTCCTGTCCCCTGCCCCCCCCCCCC